TCAGGAAAAGATTCATCTGAGGGTTTGGCATGAAGTCGAACACTGTCACGGGGGGGGGTTCAGGAGAAGAGATGGGGTGGGGGTCGAATAAAAGCTTCCTCGGACAGGGGTTGCTGCCGGGGGGGGGGGGTCAAAAAAAAGCTGGGGGTCAGAAAAAAGAGGGGGGGAGTCAAAAAAAAGAGGGGCCCTTTTTGGGCTTGAAGGTTAGGGGTTAAAATTTAAGATCTACAGGGACTACGATTTAAAGGGCCTATACCACCCTAGGCCCCTAGGTAAAGCGAAATCCACTTGCTTAATACTAGTACAATCAAGAACTGTACGGTATGTCCTAACGGCTGAGTACCCTGGCCCGAAAAAGGTTAACTTTTTCAAAGATGGTAGGCTCAAAAAACGGTTGGAAGTCTTTCTCGCTCGCGTTTTTTTGGTTGCTCCATTTTGTTTTGCTGTTTTTTTTTCGCGGTGTGGGAGGGGGACGCCTCATTTTGCAAATTTGCTGCAAAATCAAGGCTTGTATCATGGGTTCCGAGAGGGCTGAGATGGGTTCTGTTCTTCAGGACACGATGCTCCTTCAAGCTGCCCTGTGTTTCGATCGGCGTGCACGGCAAAGGAGGTCTCCGCGCCGCAACTAGCGGCGATCGTGTTGTCTCATATCTTTCTTTCTGTCATTAGATTACCTATCGTTTTGGTTCTGCAACTATTCATCTATCTCATTATTCCTGCATCTTTGGCTTTCTGTCTTTCGCCTTCTCTCTCTCGCTCTCTCTCTCTCTCTCTCTTTCTCTCTCTCTCTCTCTCTCTCTCGCTCGGTTTAATTCATTCAAAACGTCTTTGCTTCTGCCTGCATTTGTTTCTTTCTCTCTTCTTGTAGCCTTCCTTGTTAGATCTCTCCTTCGTTCCTTCTTTCTTGCTTTTCTTCGTTCCTTGTTTGGTTGAGTGTTTAGGGTTTAGGGCTCAGTGTCTTTCTCCTTGATTCTATCTTCATTCCTTCCTTCCTGTCGGCCGAAGGGGGATTGGGGAGGCCAGGCGACCAGGGCAACCGCGGAATTAGAGGTCGGACAGAGAAGGGACCAAAGCAGGGGACCAAAAGGCAGGAAGAACCGAGCGGACCAGAGGGACCAGCAGACCAGGGAACCAGAAGACCGGGGGGGCCAGGAGACCAGAAGAGCAGGGGACCAAGAAGATCACGGCCTAAACCCTAAACCCTAAACCCTAAACCCTAAACCCTAGACCCTAAACCCTAAACCCTAAACCCTAAACCCCCTAAACCCCAAACGGGACCTGGGGACCAGAAGACCAGAGGGACCAGGGACCCAGAAGCCCCACAGACCAGGAAACCAGAGGACCACGGAACCAGGGGACCGCGTGCCCAGCAGGGGACCAAGGGGATTAGGGTTTAGGGTTTAGGGTTTAGGGTTTAGGGTTTAGGGTTTAGGGTTTAGGGTTTAGGGTGATAAGGGGGAAAAACGGAGCAACAGAAAAAAACAACAACAAACAAAAAAGGAGTGAACAAATATGCCCTCCTTATAAAGGCCCTATAGGTATAGGCCCTATAAAGGATACCTACTCGGCTAATTACTCAGATGTTGCGACCCGAACATACCGAAACAAGGAATCATGTCCCCAGCACTCCACAGGCGAGAGGCGCAAGCGCTGAGGGTTGCATCGTAGCTGACGATGTTGGGTGTGAGTTCAGCCCGTGGCATGTCGCTGAAAAGCTGCAGTGCCAGCTGCCACTTTCCACGCTTCTCGCAGGAGCTGATAGCAGCACTGTAGCTGATCACATCCGGGTAGACTTCAAGATCGGGCATGAGAGCAAGCAAATGCGTGGATAACTGCCAATGCCCAGCTTTTTCACATGCGCTGATGGTAGCATTGCATGTGATGGCATCCTGGCGTTCTTCTTACAGAGCTTAAGGTGACATCATCGGCGTGTGAAGCGCGTAATATGCCCTCCTGAAACTTGCAGCTAAAACTGAAGCTTCCTAACACGAGCCCAGCAACAGGAGCAAGCTTTGCCTGAGGCATCGCGGAGAAAATTGCCAGGGCCTGCTGCCATTGCCCGCTCTTCTCACAGGAGCTGATTGTGGCATTGTAGATGATGGAATCCTAATTTCTGCTTCGTGGAGGGCTCAGACACGACTGTAAAGAATGATTCACGTCCTACCCCTTGCCAATTAAACCCAGACACAAATTCCAAAACCCCAGACCCCAACCCTCCAAAACCACCTAGAAGCCTCTAAGACGCAAAACCCTGCACAATCGAAGAACATCCCCAACCCACAGCCTCAAACACGGAAACAATGCAGGGACCTTAATTGTTAGAGTAAGGCTTACTATAGTATTGTTACAACTAGGAACTCCAAAACCGGATGTTGGAAATGATTCAGGCTTCTATATGAATGGTTTAGCAGTTTAGGGTTTAGGGTAACTTCAAGAACCCGGAGCCACCCTACACCCTAAACCCTGAAGCGGACATATGGGAGTTTCCAAAACTAAGGGGTACCTTATTTTGGGGTCCTTATAATAATGATCCTAGTATTTCGGGTACTATATTAGGGCCCCTATTTTCAGAAACCGCCAGATTGCTGCAAGAATCCGGAGCCAGCCCTGCGTTGAGCAGTGAAGCGAACAACTTGATAGCCAGCTGCCACTGGCCTCCCTTCTCGCAGGAGCTGATGGCGGCACTGTAGCCTCAAGGTTCCGGTAACCCCAAACCCTAAACCCTACTTAAACCCTAAACCTTAAACCCTACCATACCTACAGGTTCATACCCTACCCCTTTGTAAGGTACCTAGGTTTAGGGATGGGGTATCAATCTATAGGTAATCTACCATAACCTACTTTGGTAGGGTCCCTGTAACATCCATAGTTTAGGGCTCCATAGTTTAGGGCTGCTAAGCTTTAACCAGGAGCTACCAAAGAGGGTTATGGTAGCTTGAGGTAGGTAGGGTCTGGTGGCATTTGACACTTGAGGCCTAAAGTCAACATGCCATTAGTATATGGGCCTGAACAATCAGAATAAGGTCTTGGGATGACTATACTATAATTATACTAAGGAACCCCCCAAAATAGTATTGGTAGTTATTTAGGCCCCAATATTTTTAAGGCTCAGCTGTCCAGGGCCTGAATGTGGCTGGGGAGCGCAGAATACAAGGGGTGGGGGCCCTTAACCAATCTTAAAGGGTACTAGAAGCTACTATGCGGGTTCCGTTAAGGCTACTATAAGGGTTCCTGAAAGCGTACCTTAAAGGGTTCCCTTTAAGGGGTTCCTTTCAGGGTTGCTGGTTGGGAGGCTTTGGTTTCATAACCAGTCACCTCAAGAAATGTTGAACCCAGTTATTGAAGGCCTTAAACTTTAAACCCTATTATAAGTATAAACCCCGAAGCCATCCTAAACCTAAATCCCTAAACCCTCAACCCTAAATCTAAATCCACATTTGCGAGGAAGGCCTTTCAACAAACCCATGGCATACTCACGAAACAGTTAAGGCCTTAAGCCCGACCCCCTGAACCTAATGTAGGGGCCTTAATAATTAGAATAAGGTTTTGGGGAATGCCATACTATAATTGAAATAAGGAGCCCCCAGAACAGTATTGGTAATTATTTAGGCCTTGATAGTATTGATTCAATAAAGATGAGGGATGCCCTTCAACAACTCCAAGCAGCTGATGACATCTGGAGTGAGCTTCTGCTGAGGCATCGAATCAAGGAGCTGCATGGCAAGCTGCCATGACCCACCCTTTCGCCGGGCTCTTGTTACATCGGTTTAGGCAGTTTAGGATTTAGGGTTTCAGGAACTGAACTAACGTCTGGTATAGAAGCAAGAATGCTCATTTCCGCTAAGACTCTCGGGGCTTCTATCCTTTATCCATACTAGTAACCCAGTGTAGAGGTACAGTATAGCAGGGTTGCTGCGGTCGTTTCGGCGGTAAACCCTAAACACCTAAACCCCTAAACCCTGAACCCCTAAACCCTTAAACCCTAACTAAACCCTAAACCCCTGAACCCCTAAACCCCTAAATCCCTAAACCCTAAACCCCTAAACCCCTAAACCCCTACACCCGTATAAACCCCTAAACCGAGAACTAACACCGAAGCCAAAAAACAGCGCTGAGCCTTCTCCGCAGCGCTGATGGCTGCATTGCAGCCTTAAGTTTCCCAATCGCCCAAACACGGTTTAGGGTTTAGGGTTCAGGGAAAAGGGTTTAGGGTTTAGGGGTTTAAGTGTTTAGGGAAAAGGGTTTAGGGTTTAGGATTTACAGCTCAGGGAAAACATGGAAGATTCCCGTTTTGGCTAAGCTTTCAACAAAAGAGACCCAACACCAAAACGGTGAAAGATGGGCCCGAGGCACAAGCAGAGGGATGGTTTTAGGGTTGAGAAAAGCAGAGGGTACACTTCGGAAACCTAGCTAACAAAGAACAGAGAGTTTAGAGTTTAGGGTTTAGGGTTTAGGGTTTCAATTCGGAAACCTAGTAGCTAATGACGTTTGGGAGGAGCTTTGCGTCGAAGATTTCGTGGAAGAGCTTCACTGCGAGCTGCCAGTGTCCGCCTTTCAACAAATGCGAGGTCCAGGGCTAAAGGGGTCTAGGGTTGTATGGTTTAGGGCTTTAGGGGTTTAGGGGGGTTTAGGGGTTTAGGGGTTTAGGGTTTAGGGTTTAGGGGTTTAAGGCTTCAGGGCTTGAGGGGTTTAGAGCTTTCGCGGCTTTGGGCTTTAATGAGGGCTTTAGAGCTTGAGATTTAAGGCTTAGAGCGCAGGAGATGGAAAACGACAATTACACCGAGCCACCCCAGGGCCTTTGGACGACTAAGAGTTGAAAACAACACCGTAGTCTCAGGACTACTCTCCGGACATGGACACCCCGAATCAACGAACCCCAAGAGAAACCGAGTGACAGAGCCAGAGAGAGAGGGAGAGACCGAGGGAGAAACCAAGAATGAAACAAAGGAAGCATCTAACACCCAGTCTGACGGTGCGCCTTTCTGACAAGAGCTGATGGCTGTGTTGTAGCTGATCACATCAGCACGCGCCTCACGATGTGTCCTGAGCTTGGGTCTTGCTCAAAGCAACTACATACTTGGGGCTTTGGGAACGAAAACCTAAACCCTAAACCCTAATTCCTAAACCCTAAACCCTGAACCCTAAACCCTAATTCCTAAACCCTAAATACCCCTAGACCCTAAACAACCCTAAACCCAAAGTAACCCTAAACACCAAATTCTAAACCCTACAACAGCCCTAAACTCTAAACCTAAATAACCCTAATTCCTAAAACAGCCCTAAGCCCTAAACCCTAAACCCCAAACCCCTAAGCCAAAAACGGAAGTCGCTGAGTTCAAGACTTCATCATCATTACTCAACAGGACCCCTCCGTACACCAACCACAGAGCGCAATGAAAGTCCCTCGTGGACAGGGTTTTGGGGGGGGTTCCTTTCAAGGGTTCCTTAAAGGGTTCTGTAAGGGCTACTCTAAGGGTTTAGGGTGTAGGGGCCTTAATAAGTAGAACAGAGTTTTGGGGCGCATTATACTATTATAGATATAATACCCTACTATAGGTGCCTTAATGATTAGACTAGGGTTTTGGGGCCCATTACACTACATATAATAAGGAACCCGCAAAAAAATAGTATAGGTAATTTTTTAGGCCCCTATATTACTCAGCAATCTCCTGAACCACGAAGCTCGACCCCTCCCTGAACCCTAAGCCCATCAAAGCTTCAACCCCAACTCCACCCCAAACTCCTAGGGTTTAGGGTTTAGGGTTGGGATTTAGGGCTTAGGGTTTAGGGTTTGGGGTTTAGGGTTGGGATTTAGGGTTTAGGGTTTAGGGTTTGGGGTTTAGGGTTTAGGGTTTAGGGGTTAAGGTTTAGGGATGGGTCCGAGCTCCCACAAGCCCTTGAGCCCGAAGAGCCACGACAAAAAAGAGGCGAGAAGCATCACATGCAGGAGTTCCAACGAAAGGTGCCACTCTGAAGCCTTTCCGCAGCATGCGATCGCAGCATTGTAGCTGACCTTACTGCAGGTTCGTGGTCTTAGGGGTCCAGGGTGCTTCAAGGCTTGAGGGGACATGTAGGGCATTCACTTTACGTATTCTTGTACTAATATGAAATATGAACAGTTACACAAGCACCTATGGTTGCACCATCTCCAATTATAACATTTTCCCCTATCACTGCATTTGCATCTATTAGGTGTTAGGGCTTGCAGTTTAGGTGATGGCCTTGGGGCGGGGGTGCGTTGGTACGACAAGAACACCGCTCTTGTGAGATCCTAGCACAACAGAGACACATAAAACACACAAGGATGAAGAAGCACAGAGGAGCTTTACGGTGGTATATTATATACTTTGGGCCGACCGTACCGATACATGGACATTAAGGCCATATATATCTATATATATATATATATACTCTATGGGTATATGGGGGGAGCGGGAGGTCAGCGGTTGTGTAGGGTGTATCAGTATATCGTATAGTGCTGTGATGCTTGCAAATCCCAGGCCGGCGTCTGATTACATCCTGCAGGGGTATAGGGCTTAGGGTTTAGGGTTAGGGTTTAGGGTTTAGGGTTTAGGGTTTAGGGTTTGGAGTGGATCGTGCTCTCAGAAACTTGCGAGGCCAAGCCACCGTGCTGGGAATCAGGCCGGCTTCGGGCATGCTGTCGAGCAGATGCAGCGCTCTCTCCCACCATCCACCCTTCTCGCAGGAGCTGATAGCTGCACTGTAGCCTGCAGGTTTAGGGTTTAGGGCTTAGGGGTTTAGGGGTTTAGGGTTCATGGGAATGCTCTTGAAGTGTCAAGCAGACCATGCAAAGTTCATACTTGCATACTGCTTACCTTAAGGGGTAAAAGCTCTCCCGAACCACTCCAAGGAGCTGATTGTGTCTGGGCAAAGGTTCCTGGCGTCTCCAAAGACGAGGGAAAAGATGAAGCCCCAGAGAACATCCTACAACCTTCTACAACCCTCATAACACCTGACTGTTAGTAGTGTTAAGCATTATTCCTGTGGCTGCTGTTGCGATGTTTTTCAAAAACCCCAAAACCCAAAACCTTGAAACCTAAACCATAAAACCCTAATACCCCTAAACCCTAAAAGCCCCAAAACCCTAAAACCCTAAACCCAAAAATCCTAAATCCCAAACCCTAAAACCTCTAAAACCCTAAAACCCTAAACCCCTAAAACCCCTAAAACCCCTAATACCTCTAAACCCCTAAAACCCCAAAAAACCCTAAACCCTAATGACCCCTAAACCCTAATACCCCTAATACCCCTAATACCCCTAAAACCCCTAAAGTTTAAACCCCTAATAAAAGGCCCTAATACCCCTAAAACCCCCAACCCCTAAACGCTAAACACCTAATAGCCCTAAAAACCCTAAAACCCCTAAAAACCCTAAAACCCTAACCCCTAAACCCTAAAACCCCTAAACCCTTACTACCCCTACTACCCTGCTACCCCTAAAACCCCTAAAACCCTAACCCCAAAACCCCTAAACCCTAATAATTAAATACCCCTATGAACCCCTAAAAAGCCCTAAAAGCCCTAAACTCTGCATCCGAGGCGCCAGCGGGGCATCGCCGCAAGAAGTTCCACGGCAGCCGACCACTCCCCGGCTCGGCCGCAAGAGCTGATCGCCGTGTTACCTAAAAGCGTTTCGGGGGGGTTTTGGGGGTTTGGGGGTTAGGGGGTTTGGGGGTTAGGGGGTTTAGGGGTTTAGGGTTTAGGGGGTTTAGGGTTTAGGGTTTAGGGTTTAGGTTACCTCAACCCAGACCCCTGGGAGGATCCAAAAAGTAGATCCCGTAAGTGGGGTCGTATAAAGTACCCTTTAATAGTTAGGG